TTCGACAATGGCGTTCGTTCGTTGCTTCGAACGGTATCTTCCAATCGTCGAACGGTAGCGACAATGGCGTTCGAACGGTCTTCTTCTTCTGGTCGCTCGCGACGACCGGTCTTCTTCTTAACTCTTCTTCTTCTCTCTTCGACAAACGAACGACAATGGCGCTCGAACGGTAGCGTCGCGTCGAACGGTAGCTTCGAACGTTGCTTCGAACAGACGAACGAATGGCTCTTCTTCTTCTTCTCGCAACGGCCGATCGCTTGCTTGTTCTTCTATCGATCGCTAGCTAGGGTAGCTTCCACGCCTGATAAGCCGAAAAAGGCTGATGATAGAGGAAGGAGGTGTTGATAGAGAGGTTGCTATAGTGTTGTGTTACTACTTGGTTGTTGTGGTTGATTTCTAGTAATCTGGTAACTGGATAGTCATAAATCGCTACCACAGGTCATTTTCGTAAACGTCCATCCTCGTTTAGCCACGGATTTAGCCACGATTTTAGCCAAATCGGTCTCTACCATGGTGGCTAAATAAATGAGAGGCTAATGGTCAACTTCGAAGATTTAACAGAGGCAATCACTTACAGATTTAACAAACATAGCCATAAAGATTTAACTGTTTGAGTTAACAGAGCTCCTAGTAGCGATCGACCGGCAGCAGCAGCCTCCTCTCTTGCCCTTATCCGGAGCGATCGATCGTCGACAATAGCGCTTCCTCGGCCTCTCCTCTTCTTCTTACAATGGTACTTCACCGGCCGTCAACAGTAAGAGAACAGAAAGTAAGAAATCGATATGGTTTTCTCTTCTATTCTGATACTGCAGAAAACCGGTGACTTGCCCTTGTTTTTCAAATTCCACCAACTTGACCGTCATGGGCCAAGAACAGACTGCCATCCCATGGTCCATAGGATTCAATGAGGGATGGCTTTCGCTTCTGCACCAGAGACAGCCGGCTTGAGTGAGGCTTGGATAACAGAGGTGGGATCGATCGACTGACTCCCACAGAGGTGCGACCTCATTCTTCGAAAAGCCTCATTTTTTGATGCCACCAAGGTGCTGTTAGCCAGCTGGCAGAAGAAGGTGGCAAAAGGTGTTTAGCAACCCTTTAGCCACCAGCAGCCAGTCTGACATAAATCCAGCGAGTTCAGCCATGTTAGTGGCCTGTGGCTAAACTTGTTAGCCACCGAATTAGCCATGTCCTTTAGCAGCTTTGGTAGAGGCTGAATTGTGGCTAAAGTGGCCGCTAAAGGACCAAATTCGCCTTTAGCCACGGATTTAGCCACACGGTAGTTTCTGCTCTCAATTCCAGCTCTGGCTATTATAGTTTAGCTAGTAGCTTGGCTGGCAGAATAAGTCAGCGGGAGCTGCGATACCTCGGCAGAAAGACAGATAGAAGAAGGAGGATCATGTTCCGATTGCACCCATCTTTGAAGCTAGCCCTGGCGACAACACCCGACTACGTCGTGTGTTGCCACCCGGTATCATTCATTCCCGCATTGCAACCTTTTTTTTATTAAGCTAGCCCTGGCGACAACACCCGACTACGTCGTGTGTTGCCGCCCGCTACTCTATAATTTACCAGCTGCCATTCCCTTATTGTAACTCTAACCTTTACAGCTTCTGCTGGCTTATTGTGCTGTTGTGCTGATTGCACTAATCTTAAATATTAATGATTTATTCCTACCCCTAACTTGTATTGAACCATCAATGTTCAGTTTTGTTGGCTTATGACTATCTCTATCCATATACTTTGGCTTCACCTGAATAGGAAATAGGAAATAAGAAATTCGGCTTTTTTCAGCGTTCGTCTCCTGTTTCCTCAGTTTGCTCGTTACTTGGATCCATATGACGAATACACCCAATCTACGATACCATAGGCAGAGAGTTACATTGATCCGTGACAGTGGCAACAGTACCGAACACACTCAGGTTCCGCTTTACTGGCTACACTCCGTTACCAGTACCTGTCATTGGATCCTCATGAGGAATCCATGCACAACCGCGCATTGTCAATCCAGCCATCGTAGCCAGCTACCGTAAAGTTCATCAATCAGTGACAGTGGCAACAGTACCGAACACACTCAGGTTCCGCTTTACTGGCTACACTCCGTTACGGTACCTTCATTGGATCCTTATACGAATCCATGACAACCGAAATTGTCAATCCAGCCATGTAGCCAGCTACGTATAGTTCATCATCAGTGACAGTGGCAACAGTACCGAACACACTCAGGTTGACTTTCCTCGCTGCACTCGGTTCCCTCGCACTGGATCCTTATGACGAATACATGCACAAACCCGAATATTGTCAATCCAGCCATTGTAGCCGGCTACAGTTGCTACTGTACAGTTACGTCGGCGACAGTATCAACAGTACCGAACACACTCAGGTTCCGCTTTGCTGGCTACACTCCGTTGCCGGTATCTTGCATTGGATCCTTACGACGCATAGATGCACAACCGAACATTATGAATCCAGCCATTGTAGCCGACTGCGGTATAGCTACATCGACGACAGTGGCAACAGTACCGAAAGTTCGGCTTTGCTCGCTACGGTTACCGGTACCTCGCATTGGATCCTTACGACGAATACATGCACAAAACCGAATATTGTTAATCCAGCCATTGTAGCCGGCTACAGTTGCTACCGTACAGTTACGTCGGCGACAGTATCAACAGTACCGAACACACTCAGGTTCCGCTTTGCTGGATACACTCCGTTGCCGGTATCTTGCATTGGATCCTTATGACGAATACATGCACAACCGAACATTATGAATCCAGCCATTGTATGAATCCAGCCATTGTAGCCGGCTGCGGTATAGCTACATCGACGACAGTGGCAACAGTACCGAAAGTTCGGCTTTGCTCGCTACGGTTACCGGTACCTCGCATTGGATCCTTATGACGAATACATGCACAACCGAATATTGTCAATCCAGCCATTGTAGCCAGTTACCATAGAGTTACATCAATCGGTGACAGTGTCAACAGTACCGAACACACTCAGGTTTGGTTTTGCTCGCTACCCTCCAATGTTTCACCATTACAATGAATACAGAAATATTGTCAATCCAGGCTCCACAAGCACTGTTCCCGTGGGAAAATGGGTACCAGCACAGGAATCACCACCAAAACACTATGAAATAACACTGGAGGGGTGAATCCAGTAGTAGGATCCACTCTCTTGTGTGCATTCGCCTCCTCCGGTTGACTGTCGCCGTTCAATGACTCGACGACACCTCCTCCGTGCGTTCAGGCTGCTGATAGGGCTTGAGTTAACAGAGCCTCTTCCGTAGTGGTAGCTTCTCCTCTTGTCGTTCGTTCGACCTCGACAACGGTATTTCCTCGGTTGTCAGCAGTACAGCAGAGAAAACAACAAATAGATATGAGTTTGTTTTCTGTGCTCAACTGCAGACGACCGGAGACTTACCATTGTTTCAATTTTCTCCAACTTGGCCGTCATGGGCCGAGAACTGACTGCCATCCCATGGTCCATAGGATTCAATGAGGGATGGCTTTCCAATCTACACCGAAGACAGCCGGCTTGAGTGAGGCTTGGATAACAGAGATTATAGAGGTGCGACCGATTGATTCGATTCGAATAATTAAAACAACTCACCTGTTGGCGGCCGAGCTTGGATTTCTCTCCTGTTTACCATATGAATTCAATGAGGGAGAGAAGTCAGTGCTGTACCTTCAATAACACTCTTTGATAATAGACTTACCTCGTACCGTACCTGTCGTTCGATCGATCGATTCAACTGAGTCCGATTGGAAAAAGCACTCACCATTGTTGTCGGCCAAGCTTGGATTTACCTCCTGTTTACCATACGAATTCAATGAGGGAGAGAAGTCAGTGCTGTGCCTTCAATAATGGACTTTCGCTCCGATCGGTTTATCCTTAACCTTAGTAACTTCAACAGTCATTTTTTCCACGAATCAACGTAAGGGCACACACACACGTGTACAGACGTTAAAAACGTTACATACGGGTTTGGTACTTACGGATACACATGACCGTTGATTCTGCAACTGAAGTGCGGGTACACTAATTTACACAGTAAAGGCGAGCCAATCGATTTCAGAGTTCAACTGAGGGGGTAACCTAAAGGAGCGCCGTCTCAGGAGACGGAATAGGAAATAGGAAATAGGATATAGGATATAGGAAATAGGAAATAGGAAATAGGAAATAGGAAATACCAAAAAAGGGGGTGAGGGCTCAGGCAGATAGACTGCTGAGGTGAAGACGTTTTTGAGGAGTCTGGTTCATTGCCCTTCTTGCCTGGAGCGTTCTTTCTGGAGGACATGGTCGTTCTGTTGCTATCCTGCTTTGCCAATTGATGTTGATTTGGATTTGTGAGAGGATGGAAGAGAGGATGGAAGAGCGCCATTTTGGAGGATCCATCATGGTGATGTGTACTGGTAGTGGTGTAATTGTACCTGCTGTGCAGAGTTGGCTGTGTGCAGTTTTGTGGAGTTCCGGTACCGGCAAGCGCAAGATCAATCTTGCCAGGCGAGTGAGTTGCTGGGAATAAAATTTCAGACGCATGTGGTTCACGGGAAGGCTTAGAGGTCATACTGGTTCACATGGTCATTATAACAGCTCGCGATTTTTCTATTCCTCTCAGCTCATGTGAAAAGGTGCGCCTCGCTCTTTCCCAACTGCCAATCCAACAATTGCATCAATTGGTGCTCACTTTTTTTGGTTTCAATTTGCATGGGTGTTCTGTGGGTGTGCTACGCAAACACAGAACGGACCCACACTCATATCGCCCTTTGAAGGTAGCAATATAGAACACTACAAAGACCTAGCCTGTTCAACCAGTGCGCTCCCTTCTTTTACTAGTAATAGACAGTGCAACTGAGCCTTAGTTGGCTAGGAAAGCAGTGTTCTAGGCTTCTAGATCGCTGGCTGAAATTCGCTGGCTGAAATTGGATGACTTGATCTATTATCTTGGAGTTTTCTGTCATCGAAATTCTCACAAAATTGACTTTCGCTCAACCACAATGCAGATAACACCCACTACCATTATCAGAACAGCTTCCATCTACCAAGGGCTTACAGCGAGAGCAGTCAACCATGAGGCCTATCGCTATCAGCGGACATTTCGAGGATGCTTTGGTGTCTGTCCTGAGCTGGCGGCCGAACTGTGGAACATGCTGGATGATGCTGATCCAATGAGCGACATCAGATGGGTGACCTACTTCCTGGCTACACTCATGTTCCTACGTACATACACTGTGACAGCTGTACTCGCCATGATCTTCATGAAGGATGAAAAAACAATTCGGCATTGGGTGTGGGTGTTCATTGAGAAGATTGCTACTCTTGACTTGGTATGTGACGACCAAGCTAGCGCTTTTTCTTTTCTTCATTGCCGACTCCACAAATACAAAGACCTCACCATGTACATGCTACAATCCACCATCACTGCTGCTCCAGATCAGATGGGAGAACAGACTGATGAATGACAATGGCAGTCGGTGTCTGGTAACTGTTGATGGCACTGACTTTCACATCAGGGAACCAGGTCCTTTCTCAACTGGCTGGTATACCAAAAAGTTTAATGGTCCTGGATTGAGGTATGAAATTGGTGTATGTATTCAAACTGGATGGATTGTGTGGATCAATGGTCCCTTCCCTTGTGGCGAATGGGTTGATATTGCCATTTCTTTGTCATCTTTGGTCCACATGTTTGAGGGAGATGAGAGAGCTGTGGCTGACAAGGGGTACAGGGGGTATCCTCAGTACGTTGACTGCCCATGGAGACACCTTGACAATCAACAGCAGACTAGCAGGAAGGCTCTTGCAAGGGCCAGGCACGAATGTGTCAATAGGAGACTCAAGGAATGGAGCTGCCTCCTTCAGAGGTGGCGCCATTCCCTTGATAAACATGGTTAGATGGCCCATGCTGTGGCCAACATTGTGCAGCTCCAGATCATGGACCGGCCAATGTGGCAGGTGGAGTACTATGATAGAGTCGACAATGAGTTTGACTTTGATTATTAAAATAGTTTGTAGTTACTCTAGTTGCAGCCTCACTATCAGCCATAGCATTGACAGTCAACAACCAACCAGTCTACTCAGGTGTGGAATGCTTGTAATGCGTTTTCCTGCTTCTCCCAGGCAGATAGACTGCCGAGGTAAACAAACTCCTGACACCACTCGACCACCATGACAAGGAGGATAATAGACACATGTATGTCGTTGTTATTTTAGAGTAGAGGTTCTCACTACCACCCACTGTTATATAGTTAGTGTAATAGGAGAGAGTACGGTATCGAGGCAACAGCATTGTTAGCTCTGAAACAGCAGCCGTGGTCTATAGCCGCCAAGCGTCATCTTGAAGAGCCTGCACTCGGTGTGTTCGATAGTACTCCTGTCGCATGTTTGGATGCCAGGTCTCAAGAGCAAATAAAAGACCAAAGGATTGAATAAATTCTTAGAAAATGATTGTCAGAAGTATTCGTTATATAGCATCATTCGTCCTTCCCTTAGAATGGGGAGGCAGTCTACCTTTTCCTGGGTCCTTGGGTGAGTGGTTAGCATGCCGTACAGTGTGACCCATTTACACACAAACTTCGCAGGTTATGAGCCCAAATTGTGGTACTTTGTGACTTCGAGTCGCAGACGGCTGCTGCAGTGCTTCTGGGAGCCGCCTGTCTGCGACTAATGCCCCGCTCTAAGGACCGACAAGACCCACGTCTCTTGTTCCCCCCCTACAGCCCAGCTTAAAAGCCTACTGGTTCCTGGGAGGTAGTACTATACGGTATCTGTGTTGCACTGGGACGATGGGGAGTGTTAGAAGTATTCGTTATATAGTATTATTCGTCCTTCCCTTGGAATGGGGAGGCAGTCTACCTTTTCCTGGGTCCTTGGGTGAGTGGTTAGCATGCGGTACAGTGTGACCCATTTACACACAAACTTCGCAATGATGTTGAGTTGGATAGTATCATCGTGCACTTCCGCTGTGGTAAGTTCAAAGACTGAAGAGTAAATGATCAATTCATAGTTGTAGCCATTCGCTCATTGATTAATTAGACTACCTAGTGGTAGTGGATTGTCAGTTGCCATTGTCGCAGTCTTCGCGTCGTCGAACGGAAGAGCCAATCCGTTAACCCAGAAGTCAAAGGCAGAGGATCAAGTTGTTCTTGTCGAGCCTGCTGATACCATACAAAAGATAACTCTCAGATACCACTCGAATCGCGCATGCAACTGAATACACCAGTCATCATTCAATTTTTGAACACATGGGAACCTGTGTTACAAGAGAGTCACTACACCACAGCCCTGGAAACAGGATAGTCGGACATTCCTACCATCCCCTTTCCATACCCCTCCTACCCCCTTCAAACTTCTTTACCAACCCCAACTCTCTTCAACAAAGAGCTCGTGATTTGTGGTGAATCATGGCTCTGACCTCAGTGTACAAATCCTTAGATAGCAAACAGGCGTTGCACCCTCTCAGGAGGCCGGTGTGGCCGGTGAGCAGACTTGACTGTGGGAAATACCCGGGCCTCGGCTCGTGGGTCGTAATCCATTCATGCAAGAGTTTCATGGGTGGATTGCCAAATCCGAGGTCCCCCCTGGGAAGCAGACTTCGCCCAGCGATTTCATGGAATCAATCTCAAGCGAGGGAGGGAAGTTACCCACAGAAGGCAGTGAGGGCCAGACTTCGGTGGAGTTACGCCCTACTCTTCTTTATCGCCTCTAAAAGGTAAGCTGAGGTTGTGCAATGACATTTTACAATAGGCAAAATTTACTTTTGGTGCTGCGCTCTAGCTAATGGATACATTCAACGATAATTAATGAACAGGCTCGACTCCGATGGCGTCATTGATTTGAAATGAGTCGAAACAGATCTTGTTCTCTGGCTGATCGCTAGCTAGATGGCCCAGCATAGCAAGTCTCCAGTATCGTCGTAGCACGTCTCCTCGCAATCTTCCTCGTCCATGTGTTCTCTTCCATTTCCGGGATGTGATGTCAACTGCTTGGCAATGTCTACAGTTTGTGCCACATCCAGAAAGGTTGCCCAACATAGCTCATCCCCTCCAATTCGATCAAAGTAGGTATGCTCGCATTCTTCTTCCTCCTCTTCCATCATTACTGGTTCTGGTTGCGCGCTGGATGCCATGGCGGCTCCCATGGTGGCCCAACACAGGACATCCCCCGTGTCATCGTAATAGTGTTCTTCGCAGTCTTCTTCTTCTTCTTGTTCTTGTTCTTGCACGACATTATCGACCGTCATGTGGAAGGCCGGTTTGTGCAGCGAGTCCAAAAAGGCTTGACGAGTGGGCCACCGCAACGAGACGGACGTGTGTCCATCAAAGTAAAATTGTTCTTCTTCGCCACCTTCCATGGACGACAGCGATTGATCTTCATCGTTCACTGTCGCCGTGGGTGACCAGGGAAATGTGCGGTCGTGAGAAACCGTCTGGGCAAAAGGTGCAGTTTCATCCGGAGAATTCTTGGGAAATCGCCATGCCTTTTCCGCAAATTCCAGTGCCTTGGGAAGTTTGCTGGGGGCGGGGTGTGTTGCAGGGGCCCATGCCATGAGCAATGAAAACAGAGAACATAGAGTGATATAGAAGATCATGGTTGCTGTCGTTTTATTATTTTGATATCAGCACAGCAGACTATTGGGTAGGTATGCTTTCGATGGGCTTTCAGGGCGCAAATAATGAGGACATACGTTTGTTGGTTGTTGGTTCTTCATCAGGAAAGATTTTGCCTTCTCGCCTTCGCAAGGCCATAAAACAAGTACTACCAATGCAAATGCAAAGCACTGCAGTAGAGTGACAGGCTACAATGTACGTGTTGGAGGTCGCATTGGTGTCAAAGCCTTCATCATTTCATCGTGTCAAGGGCTCACAGAACTGTACCGGTACGGGTATATGGTACCACTGCAATGCTTGATTCGATTGAGATTCGATCAAAGATCCCCCCATGCCATCAGAAAGCCTTTCAGGTCACGAATGGTGTCATAGAGGAGGTGGGTTCGGGGATGTCAAGGAGACAACACTAACAATGAGGTGATGTGATGGTGATGGGGGGTTCTTGATGTCATACATCTTCCGGTACTTTCGATTGGATTTGTCCTTTTCACTTTGGAATGTGTTGAAAAGACATAATGTGATACTATCAGAAACATAGTCCAAACATGGAAAGCCAAAGATGAAATTGTACTTTCGAATGAGATAACTGTCCAGACGGTTCTTCTGAATTCCAAAGAACACTGAAAGAACACTCGATGTGCCCCTTGCTCTTCTCGGGTATGATGCGTTAAACGCCATGTTGATGCTAAAGTGTCAGGGAGATGAAAAGGGCAACCAGCAATCAAGCTCAAAAATAAGTGAGCAGCTCAACGAGCAGACCATGCATCCAGCATCACTTTTTGCTCCCAAATCGAACACTTGCCACGATCCTTGCTGGGAATCAATGTCATTCGCCCTGTCAATCTATCACGTTGAGCCCACTGGCAAATGAATGAATGATACAGAAGAGGCCAGAGAACTAAAACTAGCCTCACTTTTTAGCTTTCTGCCGCACCTTTGGCGACACCAAAAGGGGGAATGAGAAGAGAGAGCTACCAATGCGAAAACTACCCCAGCAAAAGTGACCCCGCTAGTAGTGGTTCCTGTAGTAACTACATCGTAGCTAGCTTTCACGTATGATATAGCGTGACGATCTAACTACTTTGGTCGTTTGCCTCCTCTGGCCAAAACTTTTGCGTCTCATTATTCTAGATCCTGAATCTTGACAAAGCAAAACACCAAAAGCAAGCAAATACTACTGCATCCACTGCACCAATTATCGATCCAACCATGACAAAGATCCTCGCCGCACTCCTTGCAACCCAACTACCCATCGCATCCTTGGCATGGGCTCCTCCTGGACATGCAATGCCATACAGCAAGCTCCCCAAGACACTCGAGTTTGCCGAAAAGGCATGGTTCTTGCCGCAAGCAGACAGCTTGTCGTCGTCGACTGGACCACAACGACTTTCGGAGGAGCATCAGCATCGAATGCTACCCTGGACACATCAGCAGCATGGATCCATTACTACAGGTCGTACTAATGATCATGCTCTGCATCATGACCGCTTCTTCTTTGATGGATACTCGGGTGGAGTCAGTGAATGGCCTACTCGTCAAGCGTTCCTCCAGGCACACCCCAAAAAGACATCGACGGAACTACAAATGACAGGAGAGACGTTGACCGAACAAGACTTTTACTACGACGATATGGGTACTCCAGTGAGCTGGGTGGCACGAGCACCCATCAAGAAGACAGATGGAGCCTGCGACCACCACTTTTTCGACGACACGGGTCGCAGCACCTGCTGGAAGACTCTTGTGGAAGCTACGGAAAAGGTTGTCAAGACGGCTCCCAAAGTGGAGCTAAGAGAGCTTGTGGAGAGCTGTGAACATCCCTACTACGATGATATGGGCGATCTCATGTGCTGGGTCCATGCGTCGTGAGGCAGCTCGAGTCGGAGCTCTGTGTTCTGCATAATATACAGTAGTGTGGCATACATAATGAAACGAGAAGACCCTTCGACGGCATAGATATCGAATAAAAAGCTAATAAACTATATACTTCCGTTTGCACAGAATCTTGTTTTCAAGAAGCTGTTTTCGTGGGGATGATGCTATCTCGACGCCGACTGGTAGTGGGCAAGGCAAGAAGTTGGCTGGAAACGAGGAGGAACCAGCAAGCAACAGATAGCTACAGCCACCAGCGTCGTTCTTTTCTAAGGACTCTCCTTGAAGGGTAACTACCATGGTGTCAATCAATTGTAGTCTCTCTGTTGGTTGCTCGCGATCAGATCTGTTGCCTGTTCCGACGTTCTAAACTTCGGAACATTGCTGACGATCTGTTCCCTTGTTCCGAAGTCGGATACCGGTGTCGTCTGAACGTTGAGCTGACGACAAAAGCAACGAGAGAGGTTCGGTTCGACTTGATCGAATCAATTTTGACCGGCAACCATGAGTGATGGTCACATGACTTTCCTGGTCTTGAGAATGATTAAGATTCCACTCACACTCGGACTTTCTCTGACATCGAGCTGATCTAAAGATATAAGCTCCTCTCACACTTCAATGTTCATGAATGTCTGTCTTGAATGAAAAGTACAGTACAAGATCGACTCCCGAGCTCTGCACAAGGATTGGTACCGCGACAGACAACCGTATCTTTTTGATCAAATCTTCTCTCTCCATCCAACAGAGACCTCCTCTCACAATTTCAAAAATCTCCAGAGCAAACACAAAGTTTCGAGAACCCATCTCTTTTCCTTTCCTTGCAAGCAATCCTCCTTCAAAAATGACCATTGATATCCGCAAAAACTCCGCAATGATGAGCCAAGCCGAATGGCTCCGAGCTTCCGAAGTCCTCAAGTTGATCCGAGATTTCGGAACCACCGATGCCAGCAAATACTACAGCCAGTCGATCGATGAGCTTGGTCAAGGAAACTACCGTGGAGCCATTAACTTGTCGTGGGTGGCCTTTGACGAAACGCCCAAGGGATGCTACCTGCGATTCCACACCTTCCAGCATCACTGCCGTGTTCTCATTGGCAACGGCTCTCTCGTTTCTCTCCAAGACATGATCTACCTCCATCAAGTTGCTCAAGACAAACAAGAAGAGACCTTGTGCCGTGTCGAGGCATTGCAGGTCTTGGGAGAGCTCAAGGGTATTGTCGTCGGGGACGTTGGCGCCTCAGTGGTGTTTTCGAAAATGGCACTGGAAGTGGCCAATCAAGCCACGCCACGAGAACTAGAGCAGAAGATTTTCCTCAACAGCGAGTATGATGTCTCTGTCGGAGAAATCCTGGAAGAGTTTTCGTTGCGATGCCTGGCCATGCTGGATGCTAACAAGACGGCTACCGTCGGTGTCATCGAAAAGGCTCCCTTCGTCGTTCGGTCATCCTTCGATTTCGGAACATCCCTCGAGGAAACGAAAATGGAACACCCTGAAGGGTTCTAACTAAGCATCAAAGTTAGCAAGGGAAGCCCTACCGAGACATGTTGTTGACCAAGAAGACTTGGATGGCTTGGGCGGAACCTTCGTGCGAGCGAGTTGCATGTTGGTACCGGTACCGTATGAGTAAACTGAAGCGAATCGTTAATTAAATGAGCAAGTCATTACTAATAACCTACAATCAAAACACTACAAGTACATGTAGCTTCCCCAATTACTGACAAGTACTGTTACGAGGCCACGCCGAATCTTTTGTGAGAACTAGAAGTTGTGGACAGATCTATCCGATCTGACTCCAAGGCGCCGCCAGTTGACAAAGAACGGGACCATACGTGGTCTTTGTGTGGGATGTTCTGCTTTTGTCGTTTTTGTTTGTAAAATTTGGACTAGGAGTTGACCATCACTAGCTAGCTATCTACTAGGATACACAAGGAGCGAGCGAGCACAGGAATCGGTAAGAGCGCTGTTCAGGCATTGCTTTCACCCCCCGATGGTCATCCAGAATTGCATGCATTCGTGGCCACACTAATGTGGTGCTACTAGCTAGAGCTGTACGGTATATTGCTCCTAGCCTCAGCAAGGCCTATTCTTGCTCGCTACATGTTGTAGCATCCGATCCCCGAGAATGAGGAAATTGATGGGCAACTCTTCCTTCCTCGTTGCGACTCTCGTCCATATCAAACGCCAACAGGGAAGTTTGAGCCACTTGATGCTCTATTGTAACGGGAATTACTATGGATTAGAGAGAGCTAAGAGGAGGATGGGGACAGAGCTCGAGGGGAGGGCACGATGCAGGAACGCAAGGCAAGCAATCAAGTGCGCAAGCAGGGCAACATGGAAACCAAGGAAAGGGCGAAGGCAGGAGGGCAGGGTGGAGCAAAGGAGCAAGACTAGCGGAAGAGATCGAGGGCACCACAGTCATCCCAACACTTGGAAACCTTGAGAGCTGGGACACGGGAGCCTCGGAGACACATCGTCGCGGCACGGGCAAGAGCTATGCTCAACCTGGCCGAGATGAAAGAGCGAACCACAGAGTAGGGCTTGGACCACTTGTGAGCCAAAAGCTGGGAGAGCCGTTGGAGAACAGCAGTAGCTTCGGCAGCAGAGAGGCCATCAGCAGAAACAACAAAGAGGGTGAAGTGGCGGCGTTGTGCAGAGCCTGGTACTTCGTCTTCTTCTGCCTCTCCCTCTATTCATTCGGTCTCCCTTGGCTGGCTTCCGTAGCTATTCTACCTATCGAACGCACTGGAGGAGAAAGCTATTTTTCCAAATGTCCCTGCAGACATTGGTTACCATAGCTGTTGTCACTATCATCCTTTTGGCATTTCTCCTGACTTCAAGAGCCGACAACAACGGTCACTTCTCCGAGCCGAATACAAATATGAAGAAGATGGTTATTGCAGTTCCTTCAACCTCACCACAGCAACAATTGTTGGAGCAGCTAGGGCTACCTAACTTCACTCTCAGGGCAATGGAAAAACCTAGGTCCCCACAGACCAAGGCATATCAATGGCTAAGCAACAATGTCAACACCAACAATACACAACAACTCCCTTTATGGAGACTAAAGAAAAGGTTTGCACTAGCCACATTGTATTATTCAACCCGGGGGGACTATTGGGTGAAAAATCAAGGCTGATTAGATTGGGACTCCAATGAGTGCAACTGGGAACAGCTACGATGGTCAGATTCACAAGATGGAGAGGTGGCTTGTAATGACAATGGGCAACTCCTTTCATTGGAGTTTGCATATGCCAACAACTTGGACGGGAAAATGGGGCACCAATGAGTGTGACTGGGCACAAATTGATCGGGATTGGGATCCAAAGGCAGGAGCTTATTGTGATGACAATGGACAACTCCTTTCATTGCAATTTATGTTTGGCAACAACTTGGAGGGAACAATACCACCAGAAATATCCCTGCTTCGTGATAGCTTGGCAACACTAAGGGTGTCTAGGAACCTCCAGCTCAATGGAAATATACCAACAGAGGTTGGGCTGATGACAGGGCTGTCAGACTTGTATTTGAGCATGACACACTTGTCTGGCACTCTCGCAACACAGCTGGGTCAGCTACAAAGCTTGGAGACACTACTTATCTCAGGTAGCGAGTTTGTTGGGACAGTACCAAGTGAGCTTGGCAGCCTAAGGAACCTGACAATGATGATGTTTGGAAGCACAAACCTCGAAGGTATGCGCAAAGACAATGTCATCCATCAAAAATGATGGCCTATTGAAATCATAGACTCATTCAACCTTTCTGCCAACACAGGGACAATCCCCACTGAGATTCTTGGATTGTCCAATCTGAAGAACTCGGTTTTCTCAGATACAGCATCTTTCCTCCCTCAGGTAGTTGGAAACCTGCACAATTTGGAGATGCTAGGTCTATCTGGTCGGAAAACTGGGGAGTTCACATCAATCCCACGTAAGTGTCATTCATTAGTCCTTTCTTTGTCTTAACCTTCTGGCTGCTGAACAAGGTTTTGAAATTTTGCTTCGAACAGCTGAAATTGGCAGGCTGACCAACCTGCTGAATCTTGGTTTCGATGACTTTCAACTCAATGGCACAATTCCAAGTGAGATGGGATTGTTGACAAAGCTAGTAAGTTATCACGAACGAAGGTTGTGTGCTATTGGTTCGTCTATGCACTAAGGAAGTTGTACCATTTTTTGCAGGAATCCTTCATCTTGCTAAGGAACTCCATCACTGGCACTTTACCAGACGAATTATCCAAGCTGTCCCGTGAGTTGTCTTGTCATACCCGATTTGCGAAGTTGTATCTCATACTCATGCTTTACCATCTGTCTGCTCTCCCTCAAGAGCTAAATGTACTGCTCATTCATTCCAACCAATTAGAAGGCAGACCACTAGAACAAGATGTGCTCCCCCAACTCAGCCAGCTACAGAAGTTGTGTATCAATGACAACCTTTTCTCAGGCTCTATTGCTACAGAAATTGGTTTGTTGTCCAGCCTTGGGATCCTTGAACTGCAAAATACCAACCTATCTGGGACCCTTCCCACGGAACTACTTTTGTTGGACAACTTGACCAGCTTGGTCTTGATGAACACATCCTTATCTGGAAGCATCCCTGATGGATTATGTGACGTCATACTCTTGCCACATGGTGAAACAAAGTATTTTGGTGGGAATTACTATACTGTTCCAATGACCAACCTGTCAGTCTGCTATGGAACCACACTTTGTGGTTGTGATTGTGATCCTTGCCCAATAATCTAGCTATAGCTAGTGGTAGACTTGGGCACAACTTCAAGACCTCAGCCACAACAAATTGTTGTGGCTTTTGCAAACAAAGGATCCATCACCACTGAAATTCTTTGATAGTCAAGCCTGAAGCAGGTGGGTTTCTCAAAGTGCCCTGGGTTGGATACAGAATCTTGAATCACTGAGGTAGTTGGAACCCTGCACAATTTGAAATGTGAAATCTTGTTTGTACTCCTTGCCCATCAAACTAGCCCAAAAGTGGCGTTGTAGAGGTACTATACCTGGTTCACAGCTAGCTAGAATGGACGCACAGCAACTTCGGTAAGCTACAAAGAAGAAAAGGCAAAAGATTATTCAGTGCGGAGGGTTCATCAGTGAGGAGGCAGGCAGGCCAGCAACTGACACTGCATGACTGGCTGGGCTGCTGGGTTTTGGTGGCGACTACTTTCCGGACTGTTGGGAATCCCGAAAGTACTTTGACTAGCCCGGACGACAACTAACTTGAGCAGCTAACGTCCGCCCGATCGTCTCTCACTTTTTGTCACTCAGTAACGCCATCAATGTGCGACTAGCTAGAGCTGTCGTACCGGTTCGACCTAGCAGTCGTCTGGACTTGCAAATTTCGCCGTTAGCTGGCTGCGATGCTGGCTAGCTTGCTAGAGGTTACTTTGAAACCAAGAGGAGGCCTCTCTTAGGGACAAGCACGATCGATGACGGTGTGATGCATCCGATGCAAGAGAGCGTGCTCTTGTCGTCTTGCGTAAATCTTCGTTCCAAGCGGGTTCGCTCATAGCCAAAATTTTGCCGGTTCACGGGGCAACAGACACGAGCAAAACACGTACGACTGTACTTGGGCTTGCTCGGAACACATGAATGAGAAAGATTGCCCTCGCTGCGAAAGAACACAAAACTCAAACTTCCAAAATCTTTGGCAGCCAACAATCCATCATCACACCACAACGACTCCAACCATGAGACAAGTCCTTGTATCCTCCGCTCTTGTTCTGCTATCAGCAGCTGGCGGTGACGCTGCCGGAAGACTGGGTCAGCCCCAACAGGAAAGCCGAGAACTCCAGTCTCCCAGCACTATTGTCCTGAATGCGCTGATTGATACCTTCCTTCCAGCCGTCGTGAATGATTTGGAGAACAACATTGCCCAAGATTTGGATCCCGTCGCTTTGGACTTTGAAACGAAGGAAGCTGTGGAAGTGACGGTGGCTGCCAACGACACGATTTGCCCGTCGAACAATACGACAGATGGTGCCACGGCAGTGTCTCGTTCCGGTGGTTCGGATGATGGATCCTACACGGGAGAAATCAGTTACTATATTGAACAAATGGCCGGCATGGGGACCATGGACGTGGAATCGGTGGAGTTGAAAGATGGCACCCAAGACATTAACATTCCGTTTGCGTCCTTCTTTGGAGCCCAAGGATCTACGTGGAGTGGTGTATGGGATGCCGTGGCCAATTTTGATCAGTTTGTGCTGTCCACCACGGCCACCTTGAACATGACTTCGTTTTGCAACATGTCTTCTTACACCGAAGTGGAGACTGGCACCTTTACCATTGTCAAACCCAAGGTCACCATGACAATCTACGTGTATGGTGAAACGGGCAATATCTATCGATTCAACGACGAGTCGGTGGTGACAGTGGCCACGGTACAATCCCTTTCCATGACATATGAGACTGTCACGGGAAATCTAGGGTACTTTGATGACTATGCTGTGGTGGATGCCGACGAGCCCTTTATAACCAAGGTGGAAGAGGAGTTCACCGCTGGATCCGAGTTTTTCACCCTCTTGACTGCGTTTGTGCAAGAAGAAGTCGACAAGGAAATGCCATTTTCCTTGTAGGAAAGAAACGAAAGATTGTAGCGATTGTGATGTGTTTTCTGTGCGGGCCTCTCTCAATGTGGTGGAAATACCATAGCTAGTTATAGCTACAGTGTAGTTTTGTTGAAATAGCTAAATTGTGCAGCGTATAGTACTAGTATGCTGATGTTCCCTCGAGCATCCGGTTGCTTTCCACCGAAGTTGTCCCAAGATGGGCTCCCGAGGGAAGGTAGGTTTGCCTACTCTCGTCACCCCCCCCTGCCCCCCAGGTTCAGCCGCTACAGCCAGAGCTCTGGCTAGCGCTAGTACGGCACCAGTACGGTACCGACAGCTGTAGTTTAGACGTCTAGCCAGCTTGTAGTACCCACATTTTTGTGAACAAAGAATACGGGGAAAGTTACTATGGGTTAGAGAGAGCTATGATGAGGAGGGGGGCAGAGAGGGGAGGGAACAATGCAGGAACACAAGGCAAGCAATCAAGTGAACAAAGAATAGACCTGATGATGAAGGGGGGTTGTGATGTTGTGATTGATCATTGATGAATGGAATGATGAATCGAATCGAATCGACACAATCATTCGATTGCATCGAACTCGATTGATTCGATCATTTTATCGGGTCACCTGTGCCTCCTGCGGGTATTGCCTCCAACGTCATTCCATCAGACACGTCACAGCCCACCCAATCCACTGGCATCCATTCACATCCATGACTCTACCAGCCCTCATACCGCCACTACAGCACCACGCAAACGGCCACCCCAGCTGCACGGCAAGAGTGTTGGATCACGTTGTTCATGCAGTAGCAGCAGAACCTGTGCAGTACGAAGACACGAAGAAGCAAAGGGATATGAAAAAGAAGAAATGAAGAAAAAGAAGGCACAGAGTCATGATGGCAGTGGTCTACAACAACAAACCAGCAACTCCGACAATGTGTTTAGTGATATTGGTGAGGACAAAGGGGGGCAAGAGAAGAAAGAGATGGATTTAGTGATTGGAAATCAGCATCCAACCACATTTCCCAACAGCTCTCAACCAAATCACTCCTCGCCCCAGGCCCTTGATGATGTTATCAGTAGCATCCAGCCATTACCGACATTATGTCCGCCAGCCATGTATCGAGCAAGATGGGTCCCAGAAAGAGCACCCGGGGCATATGCCGTGGAGGGGATTGGACCAATGTATTGCCACCCAACAAGTAGGCCAGCCGACATGGAAGAGCTGGGATTGGAATTGGTGCCTACATCCCAAAATGAAGTGGATGATGATCATGGACTTATTCATGCTGACCCAGTTGATGACCCAGAAAATGGTATGATTCCAACAGCAGAGCCAATAACAACAAGGGCAAAAAGAATATGGAAGAAGAAACTATTCTTGTTCCTCTCACTGGAAACAATGGTTGCCATGCTTGTTGTCACTATTTTGCTTTTGGCATTTCTCTTTGCAATGGAGACAGAAAATGAATCACAGCCAGCAACACAGCAAAATGGAGTGATTCCAATACAAGCAAATCCAGGGGCAATAGCTTCAACCACACCAATATCGCTATGGGAAAGACTACATCTACCTGAATACACCCTCAGGGCTATGGAAAATCCTAGGTCGTCACAGACCAAGGCATATCAATGGCTAAGCCACAATATCAAGAACTCTAACAATACACAACATCTCCCTTTATGGAGACTGAAGCAAAGGTTTGCACTGGCCACATTTTATTATTCAACACGGGGGGACCATTGGGTGAAAAATCAAGGCTGGCTGGATTGGGACACCAATGAGTGCAACTGGGAACAAATTTATTCGGATTGGGACCCAAACGCAGTTTATTGTGGTGATGCTGGGCAACTCGTATCGTTGCAGTTTTGGTCTGCCAACAATTTGGATGGAACAATGCCGCCAGAGATATCCCTGCTTTGTAGCAGCTTGGAAACACTTATATTTTCTGGGAACCACCAACTCCAAGGAAACATGCCAACCGAGGTTGGACTTTTGACAAGACTGACAAGTTTTTCCTTAAGCGCAACACACTTGTCCGGCACACTCCCAACAGAACTGGGTCAGCTACGAAGCTTGGGGCGACTATTGATCTCGGGTAGCGATTTTGATGGGACTTTACCTACTGAGCTGGGCAACCTAAGCAAGCTGACAGTTCTGCTATCTGATACAGTGAACATTTCTGGTATGCAACGGAGCGGACAAAAGCATTGCAGAATTTTCAGAGTGTGACTTACTGACTCACTTGATATTGTCTGCCTACACAGGATCCATCCCCACTGAAATTCTTCGATTGTCAGACCTGAAGACCTTGGGTTTCTCAGAGTGCCCTCTGTTGGATATAACACCTTTCCTGACTGAGGTAGTTGGAAACCTGCACAATTTGGAGATGCTAGGTCTAGGCTATGGGAAAACTGGGGGGTTCACATCAATCCCATGTAAGTGCCATTCGTTCTTTTTGTTGTTTTGGCCTAGGCTTCTGTTTGCTGAACATGTTTTTTGAAATTATGCTTGCAACAGCTGAAATTGGCAAGCTGACAAACCTGGTATATCTAGTCTTCTCTGAATTGCAACTCAATGGCACAATTCCAAGCGAGATGGGATTGTTGACAAAGCTAGTAAGTAATCATGAATGAAGCTTGTGTGGTATTGGTGCCTCTATGCACTAAGGGAGTTGTGCCGCTTCTTTGCAGAGCAGCTTGGACTTGCAAAGCAACTCAATCTCAGGCACTTTACCAAAAGAGTTATCAAAGATGTCAAGTGAGTCGTCTTGGCATGGCTCTCATACCAGATTTGCAAAATTCATCTTGTGCTCATGCTTTCCCATCTGTCTGCTCTACTTCAAGAGCTGAAAGGGCTGCTCCTTAATTCCAACCAAATAGAAGGCAGACCTCTGGAACAAGATGTGCTTCCCCAACTTACCCAGCTAAAGAAGTTGCATATCAATGACAACCTTTTCTCAGGCTCTATTGCAACAGAAATAGGTTTGATGTCCAGCATTGAGAACCTTGAACTGCATAACACAAAAATATATGGGACCCTTCCCACCGAGTTGCTTTTGTTGGACAACTTGACCAGCTTGGTCTTGATGAACACATCCTCATCTGGGAGCATCCCTAATGGATTATGTGGTACCATACTCTCGCCACATGAAATGAAATATTTTGGGGGGAATTTCTATTGGGTTCCCACAACCAACATGTCAGTCTGCTATGGAACTGGTCTATGTGGCTGCACTTGTGAGCCTTGCCCAAAAACATGACATAGTTTTAACCCCCCCACAACCTTCATTCTTCTTCCAGTGGCTCTGGGTTGCCATTGCCCCTTCAGAAATAAGGCGGGCTACTAAAGTAGGGAAGTTACCTAACGCCGGCATGGGAGATGCATGGTGAGGGCCCGGTTTAGGCAAAGAAGATGCGAATTTTGGGACTATGTTCCGTCGGATCAAGGGCAACAAACTGGGTGCCAAGTGAGGTCTGAAGGGCTTGAACTTGTGGGATCCAACGATGACAGAAATGAAGCATTGATATAGCATTCTATTTTAGGCTACTCGAAGTATGACGTGACCACTGTGCCCCTATTACCGTACCCCCACAGCATTGGGTCGGAGAGAGTTGGCCCCTCAGCCAGGAAAGGTTTTTAAAAACCTAACAGAGGTATGAAGTTAAGGGATCCCTTACCTCATTGTGGACCCATCCTTGCTTATTCTGCCGTCAGTGTCAGTGCAGTGCCCTACCCTACCTGGCGGTGGTCCGAACTCCAACCTCCGAATCAATCATCGTGTGTGACGTTTGATAAGGGCAATTGCATGAGAGCAGTGCCCTGAAATAAATGGAACACTTCAAAACGATAATGACTTGGAACAGAAAGGATCTCTGTCTTAGGAACACTGGAGTTAACCCCTACGCCATACTAGCTACATGTAGGACACCTACTTTTCAGGTGTAAGTAAATCCGCTTTACCCCAAAGTAAATCCGTTTTACCCCAAGACAAGGGCAATTACATGTATTGATGAGAGTCGAGTCGGCATCGTAAAATGTTCAGGACATGTCCTGAAAGAACATGCCGAACATCGGGAACTTCCTAAAAGATCCGATCACTTGTGCGTCCCGCTGCTAAACAATCGTGCCAAAAAGTTGCCAAGACCACCCCCTCACAACCCTCATTTTTTCTATCCGACGGTTTTTTAAAATCAGCGGTATCAGATCTTTGGTCCTTCCTCGATCTATTCCATACCCGTCATGTCCCAGAAGGAAGGAAAGAAAGATGCTTCTCAATTCCCCTTTGTTTCGCCGCATGGAGTTGCTGGTCACGGCATGCACATGGATGCTCCTGCTGCTCTCTGCCGCCAATGCCCGTCCCAACATTATCGTGATGCAACCGGATGATTTTCAGTTCTTTACGGAATGGGATCCTCCGGCTCATCGAGCGGGCGCCACATTGTATTCGGACACTGATTATTTGCCCCATTTGACCCGGTTCCGCGCCAATGGTCTCGAGATGAAACGCGCTTACACGGCCAGTTCCATGTGTGGCACCAGTCGGTATTCCACCATGACGGGTCGCTATCCGAGTCGATCCTCCAACTCCCGGCAACGCAATGCCGGTCTAGATCTGCCCCTCGTCACGATTCCGACTACCAAATTGGTCGATATAGCAACCGATGGTGTAGAGGATGGACTGGATTGCAGTGTCAGCAACGTGGCTGTCATGTTGCAGAGCAATGGGTACAGGACGGGCATGTTTGGCAAGTGGCACTTATATGCCGGCAATCGGGGGGATCCCTATGACTATTCGGCCATTCAATCCATTATACGGTCGTGTGGATTTGATGTCGCCGAGGCGGTGTATTGGCAAAACTTGAATGATGATTGGACCAATGGCGGACGATTTACACACAATTTGGAACACATGGCAGCCGAGGCTATCGAGTTTATCGATGCGTCCTTGGATGCCCAACAAGACTTTTTCATGTACTTTAATCCAACGGCTCCACATGGATCGGGCAATGTCTTTCAGGCATTGACCCAGCATTCCTGTCAAGAAGCACCCGAAGGAACATTGCCAGAGGAGCCCGTAGTGCCTGGCATGACTGGAGACGGAGTGGGCTGTCAGGCGTATCGACAGAGTGTGGTGGACCGGGCCAATGGGGATACATCAAATGCTATTCTGGGAGCGATTTGGGTGGATGATACCGTTGGGGCGCTACTGCAGCATTTGGAAACCAGAGGCATTCTGGAAAACACGCTGTTCTTGTTTCAATTGGATCATGGGCAAGAAGCTAAAAGTACCCTATACGAACCAGGTGTCCGCATTGCTCAGTTCATCCACTACCCCAAGGAAATACCGGCAGGATCGACGTTTGAAGGCTTGGTGTCCACCATTGACATTGCTCCTACATTGGCCGACTATGCCGGCATCTCTGAATCCAGCTCCAATGGTTGGTACGAAACGGATGGAGTATCATGGAAGGATCGTTGGGCTAGACCGGTCGTCGATGACCGTTGCCTATTGGTAGAACTCGACTATGATCGAGCGGTCGTCTGCAAGTGTGAAAAGTACTTGGTCATTGGAAGCACAGCCGACAGTACCACTCTTAGCCGCGCCACTCGTTTTGGTCTCGTCGGATCGTCACCGGCATCCTTTGACTTGTGCGACGGCGACGGTGCGTATCGTACATCACCAGATAACAGTCCAGAAGCTTCCGTCGCTGATACGATCGACTCTCGATTGGAAGATCTGATGGACTGCCATGTTGCCATGACCGATCCAGATGAAACCCCAGCGTACGGCACTTGCAATGCATTGGCATTGGGACCTACCCCGGCTCCAACCACAGCAGAAGCAGAAGGAGATCGAGGAGAATACATTGTAGACGTCTTGGAGGATGCAGTGGCGGACTCGAATGCTACCAATGTGACGGCAGCTCCCATCGTATCCTCGTCATCGTCTACGGTAACCGTTTCCGTAAGTATTTTGAAAGCTGGAGACGGTGATGCTGAAGGCAAAGAGGAGCCAGAACTCATCATGGTGGACGCTTCCACCAGTAGTGGAACTCTGACGCTGCGCTCCATTGCCGTGCAGGTTCCTTGGGTTGTGGCGACAGTTGTCTGCCTTTTTGCGCTATAGAAATAACGTCTTAATTCATAACATCATTGGTTGTATGGTACCTCCGGGATCTCTCTCGTAACTACGGTAGCACCGTTCCATAGAAGGAAAGCGTGTGTTGGCAAATGTCACTGGGGTCCACAGCAATCTCTAGCTGCCCACTTCGTCACATGACAGCCCAGACCTACTTCCGCACCGTTACTAGTAACGCCGACAAGATTTCAAAGGGGAGAAAACCACCTTCGTACCTTCGCGGACGCGGTTTGAGTTTAGAATTCAAACGCATCATCGTTTCTCATTTGATTTTTGATTTCGATTTTGAGTTGGTCTTACCAAAACGTCGTCATTGAAACGAAACAACGTCGCTTTGCCAAGGAGAAAGGAAACCTGTTTTCTCTCTCAACCACTTCTTCTTCCACAAGAAATGCATGACGATGACACCTTTTCCGGTGCTGCTTTTGCAGCCGCCCCTTCGGGGGCCCGTGGTTCCTTCGGGAGCCCTGTGGTTGAGACTCGCTGGCTTCGCCCCTGTCAATATACTCTGGGAAAGTTGTCGTCTTGCGGTGGTTCCTTTGTGGGGTGGTTCGTCCTCGTGCAATCGCCAACGTTCGTCGTCTCATCCTCCAATCCAACAGGTTAGTTCAGCGCGTGTTTGTTTTTAAAATGTGACTCGACTCTCAGATCCAGGCATGACATTAGTAGCTCTTTGCTCTTCGGAGTCAGCATTCGTGTTGGAAGGGGTTGGCGGGCACTCTCCAGGGTGTTCCTCCATCTCTTCGCTGGGCAAAAGTGGCATGCTTGGGTCTGCTGTTTCTTCCTTTGACTCGAGTCTCACCATTCTCTTGTTGCACTTGCCCTTTGTAGGGTGGATTTGCTACGGTACCAGTCGGTCTTCGGTTCGATCGTCGTCCTCGATCCCTTCTTTGTCTCGGTCGAAGCTCGCGATCTCATCTGCTGACCGTTGCAAACCGGCCCCTGCCTGGCGTTGGAGTTTCGATCTGGCGTCCTTCTTCAACTCGTTTTGAGTCCAGCATCTTTCTGAGTCTACGTTCCATTGGGCGGTCGGTCGGTGGTTCTTTTCTGCTCTTGGGCAATCTCAGCGTTCGCTCGTTCGCTCGCTCCCTTTTGAAGTCCAGGACCGGAACGAAACACCATCTCCCTGGTTTGGCTGCTCGTTTTGGCAATCTCCCTGGCTCCTTTGGCATTCTCCCTGGCTGTGCTCCATAATAACCATATAGCTCATGTCAACCGCGGGGCTGCCTTTTGGCAAGCATAGTTGGTGGTCAGCTTTTGACCAGCAACAGTTACCCTGCTCCACTGTCATCTAGTCCTAGTCGTTCAATCTTCTTTAGTTGGCTGGTCGGTGGTTCCTATTGACAACTGGAAGCTAGGACTGCCCGATACACTTTCCTTTCACCTCTGTGTTCTTGCTCCGCTGAGTGGCTCCTTTCAGTGATGTCACGCCAGGCCCTGATGCTACAGTCCCCTCTTCGGAGCAGAGCAAAGTGCTTGCGAATGATGTAACCTGTGAAACTCAATGCAACCTGGGCAACTCAACATGGCCCTTCGAATCTAGCTTAAAATAGTTTCATCTTAGTATTTCCACGCCGTAGTTCTTTCTTACCAACTCTTGAAGCTAGTTGGTGGTTCCTTTCATGATGCCATTGCTCAACTCAAGCGTTAATGCTCTCTTGCTCTGCCTTTAGTTTAAAACAATCGTCATTGCGGGTTGCTCCTTCGCTGTCCCTGTTCGGCTCACATGTTTGTTCCCTTTATCTCTTCGATGGTAAACGGGATCAAGTCAATGCTTTCTCTTCTAGAGTTAGCAGCCTTAGGCCCTTTCTTTCTAAAAGGATTCAATCTCCAGATTCAAAGCTCCCTGAATCCAGTCTTTTTTCTTTTGTATGGCTCCAGGTCGATTGAATTCCCTGTCTGATTCAAGGTTGGCGCTTTATCTGTCTGGCCGGTTGCACGGCTGGACTCAAGAAGAGTTTCTAACCAAAAAAGGCCCCATGAAAGTCCATGGCCACCCGTGTCTTTGTATTCGCTTCGGCCATTTTTGTCATCGTCTTGGCATCCACCACCAACAAGGATGTTTCTTCCGTTCGTCCATCCATGCGGGTACAGAGCAACACGCCATCATCTTCGTCGACACCGTCGGGATTGGCCACAAAGATGGGTTCGGAATAATAGCAACTATCGCGTTCCCGAAAACTCACCGCCTGGCCCGTCTCGGTGTCAATCTTGAGAATGGCCCAACAATCGTATTCGGAGGATCCTTGTGCGTAGGCTCCAAATGCATACGTATACCGTGGATGCCGGCCTTGTTGCCACGGTCCTTGTCCATTTGTCGTACGGGAATAGCGAGTTGTCGGCAATTCAAATCCCTGTTCCGTGCCCGACTTGGTATCCACGGCGGGAGTCCATTGGACGCTGGCTGTGTCCTGTTGTAAATGGACCGTAACATCGCAGAGAGTCCCTGGACGAGGAATTCGATTTCGTCCTTCGGCGGTCCAGGCTCTGTCAAAGCGAAAGAACATGTCCTCACCGGTAATCATATCCGGTGTCCGATAAGCACACAATTTGATGGAAACGTTGTTTTCCGTGTCGTCTTCTGCGGACGAGATGGCATGATAAAAGTAGACTTGTTCGGGCAGGCTCGTGTCGGCGAGGAGGTCTCCCGATTCCAGGTCAAAGACTAGTACTTTGGTGGTTTCGTCCACATGTTGCATGGAGGGCATGAATCCCTCTGTCAGAAGGACCTTGAAATTGGAGTTTTGTCGCAAGGGTTGCAGGACCACAATCGCCTTGGATTGTGTCAATCCAAAGCTGTGCATGTAGGGAATCTCATTGTAGGGTAATTTATACTTGGCAATGACTTGTCGATCTTGACTGTTTCTTGGATCATCCTTGATCAGACAAAGATGATAGTTCGGAAAGCCAATATGAGTGCCCACATTGTAGGTGGCACCGGTCCCCCGTTTGCAATATTCGGGATGTGCCGTGGCGGACAGTTCGTAGAATCCCGGAGCATTGTGCGCGGCAGGAGGTTGTCTGCCAGATTGTAGAGTATCCAGCGAGTTTTTGTCCAAGGTCGCTCGAATGGTCGTGTCCGTCAAGCACCAAACGTTGGAATTGTCTTGAGCGCCCGCACTGAAATCCCATACATTGACGGGTGCATTGTCAAAAGCAGGAATGTTCAGCAGAGCTTGCAGCCACTTTGTTTGTGGCTTGGCCGTCTTGGTTTCCTTATCTACCAAAGGACCTATATGGACCGACGGTACTCCACTGCCCTTGCCAGCCCATTCCCGGTACAAGTACGAGTCGACAAAGCGAGACGTAAAGCTCACCGAGTTGTCATTGTTGCCATCATTAATTTGATAGAGCGAAAGTTTGGCCAACCCGTCAAAAATGTGCGCACTTTGGGTCGTCTCATCCAGAGACCAGATTCCACCGCCGTTGCGGATCAACGAACCCTTCACGTACGAAGGAATCGTCCCTTCCACATGAAGCACCTTGGGTTCCTTCACTTCATCAGGAGCATCCGTGATCCATCGTTGAAATCCGACGTTGGTTGTCTTGGTGGTTGGCGCTGAAAACGAAGATACTCCTCTTCTTGACAGCAACAACAACAGCAGAAAGGGCAGCAAACTGATGGGGAATAGCAACATGGACTTGGACATTGTCATAGATATGTAATGGCTCGACTGCTAGCTACCTAGCACCTGGTACTGGTATCCTGTCGAGATGTCGAGAGATGTAGCCCTTTCATCCCAAAGATCGAAGCTCGAGAAAAACCTTGAAGCCGCCGATGACGTCATTCCTCACTGGATAAGAACGAGCCTGCAGAGCAGATAGAAAGTAAGGTACGAACGCCAACACCTGTGGTACCGGTACTTTTGACAGAAGGATGAGGTACGGTACCTAAAGGTAGCGACCCCACCAAGTGTAATAGGTAGCCGGAGCAAGCATTGACAAGACAAGCCTGCAAAGGAATTCAAGTACGTATATAGAAGCAACAGCCAAAGCCACATGAAGTTCGAGATCTTAGCTTGGCGTCTTGCTTTGCTCAATTCGTTACAAAAACCGCCACTCACAAGCAATGGCGCTTTTGGCTAAAAACCACCTTCGTTTGCCTGCCTCACAATGTTGCAACAGTGTTGAACCGATCTCACTGGCCACAGACAGCCGAATCGAGTCAGCAGACAGCCAAGTTGCCACACGCCAACAAGGCCCTACCAGCCACCGAGCTGCTATCAACCGGCTCCAAAGGCAGTTGCCAAAAAAGTTCCAGGTGCTTTCCACCACCTTTGTTGGTTCGCTTAGCCTCTGCTCTGGGTTCCAACAGCTGCTATCCGCAGCCTTGCAGTACCTGGAACTGAGCCACCATTAAAAAATGGATTGAAGATTGGCCCAAGGAGCGAACAAGATCTGCACCGGTAAGGCTAAGCCCCTACTACTTGAAGTCTGAAACCCCTCAATGCATGTGACATACATGTACTTTGGCTATTACTGATGAGAGGTGAGTCCAGAATTCGAAGTGCTCCAGTGGCGGGGGACGGTCCTACTGACCACATCGAGTGGATCTGGACCTTGAACGACCATCGGCAAGCTGGCAGAGTAGCCACCTCAAGAAAGAAGCTCAACCAGCAGTTGGGACAGAACTGTGTTTGAATCTCAATGGAATCGATTGAATCAGATGAATAGTCTGAAGCAAGGTGACGCGATCAGTGGCAGATCAAACAGCTCAAACGGTGGCCACTCAACTCTACTACTAGCTAGCTGGCTGGCTACTACATGTAGTAGAGTAGACCTTACAATACAACTAACTGGAGCTTACTAGTAGGCGGACAGAGGTCAGAGCTGAGTTGGAATGTCCGCAATCCGCAGCAGACTCGGCAGTCAGCAGTCACTGCTGCTTGGGTCGCTCTGGATTATGCCCTGCACCCTGCATCACTGCATCAGTCCTGCATCCCGCATTGTCCTGCCCTCGCTTCTCTAGAAGGAACGGAAGGGGAGGTTGAAAGAGAACTAAGGACACCATAGATTCTACGATGTCTTTAAATCCTCCTCGGACAGCTGGACTTCGAACTTCGAACCAGAAGAATCCAATGTCAGTGGGACTTTTGGGGACTTGATGATTTAAACGTGGTCAATCTCGCAACCGAACACACAGGAATTCGGAACAAAGGTTTTCTTCCTTGTGACCTTGTTTTCTTTCTGTGTCTTTTACAACAACATCCTTCCAGATCTGACTGGCTTTGGCTTTTGGCTTCTGGCTGGGTGTTGCCAGGGCACTCCACGCCTCATTTTCTCATCTCCTCACAAATTGTTTTGCCCAAGATTCGCAATGTCATCACAAATCACAATGGCTCGCCCTTCCGCCCTTGCACAGTTTTTTGAGAGCAACGTTTCTTCTTATCAGAGTGAAAGTCTAACTATTGTCCAAGACAATGCAGCAAGTCTTGCAAAGTCCACCATTTGGTCTAACAAAGAACACAATTTGAGCCGCAAACAAGTTGAGTGCAAGAAGAGAAGGCGTGAAAACCAAAGACGAGAGCTACGAGGTAGATCTGGAGAACGAAGAGCAGAGAAGTCATCATTGTGTCGATGGGATAGCTTCCCATCGCGCTCCTTGTCTCCCATGAAGCCAGGAGCAACCAGCCACCTGAACAATCACTGCATTAGCCCACCTCGACGGCCTGTCCGACAAGCGAGCATCCCTAGGGGGCTGTCGTCACCATCACTGTCACCGTCAGACTCAATCATGGAAAGGAAACTCATAGGATCGAACGCATGGAAAGAATCAATGGTTGCGTCGACGTCCAGCATTATTTCTTCACCGTCTGCCTGATGGCTGCAAGATACTACGTATCACTTTCACATGTGCAAAAAAGAGGGCCTCAAACCTATGTAAACAATGGATATAGCATGCAACGGTTACTTTACAACCCTTTCTCAACTATTTTACTCAGTGTAGTGGCACCGGCTGCAACTTTCGTGGACGTGGCTATGTACGCCGTTGTGTACAGCGCGATTGATGATTCCTGCAGTCACACTGATGGCGTCCATTACTACCTGCTACAACATGTACTCAGAGTAGCTTGCTAGCTACCGGTCCCTACTCGGAGCTGGCAAACTACCGGTACCGGTACGATTGATGGGGTAGCAGAGTGAGTCGAGTGACAGTCAGAGTAGGTGTCAGAGTCGAGTCGAGTGACTCGTCACTCATCACACACTGGAAGTACTATACCTGGTGCCGTACCGATGTTCGTTTCTGTTGGCACTGGTACAGTACCTGCTGGCCAGCAAGGACAACCGTTATAACCTCGGCAGGTAAACTGCCTGAGTTCTCAACCTCGGCAGGTAAACTGCCTGAGTTCTCAACCCCTTTACCTCGGCAAGTAAACTGCCTGAGTTCTCAACCCCTTTAATGCTATTTCCTATTTCCTATTTCCTATTTCCTATTTCCTATTTTCTATTTCCTATTTCCTATTTCCTATTCCGGTGAAGCCAAAGTATAAGGATAGAGATAGTCATAAGCCAACAAGACTGAACATTGATAGTTCAATACAAGTTAGGGGTAGGAATAAATCATTAATATTTAAGGTTAGTGCAATCAGCACAACAGCACAATAAGCCAGCAGGAGCTGTAAAGGTTAGAGTTACAATAAGGGAATGGCAGCTGGTAAATTATAGAGTAGCGGGCGGCAACACACGACGTAGTCGGGTGTTGTCGCCAGGGCTAGCTTAATAAAAAGAAGGTTGCAATGAGGGAATGAATGATACCGGGCGGCAACACACGACGTAGTCGGGTGTTGTCGCCAGGGCTAGCTTGAAAGATGGGTGCAATCTCGAATATGATCCTCCTTCTTTTATCTGTCTTTCTGCCGAGGTATCGCAGCTCCCGCTGACTTAAATGCTATTTCCTATTTCCTATTTCCTATTTCCTATTTTCTATTTCCTACAGTATTTCCTATTCCGGTGAAGCCAAAGTTTAAGGATAGAGATAATCATAAGCCAACAGAACTGAACATTGATAGTTCAATACAAGTTAGGGGTAGGAATAAATCATTAATATTTAAGGTTAGTGCAATCAGCACAACAGCACAATAAGCCAGCAGGAGTTGTAAAGGTTAGAGTTACAATAAGGGAATGGCAGCTGGTAAATTATAGAGTAGCGGGCGGCAACACACGACGTAGTCGGGTGTTGTCGCCAGGGCTAGCTTAATAAAGAAGGTTGCAATGAGGGAATGAATGATACAGGGCGGCAACACACGACGTAGTCGGGTGTTGTCGCCAGGGCTGGCTTGAAAGATGGGTGCAATCTCGAACATGATCCTCCTTCTTCTATCTGTCTTTCTGCCGAGGTATCGCAGCTCCCGCTGACTTGAATGCTATTTCCTATTTCCTATTTCCTATTTTCTATTTCCTATTTCCTATTCCGGTGAAGCCAAAGTATAAGGATAGAGATAGTCATAAGCCAACAAAACTGAACATTGATGGTTCAATACAAGTTAGGGGTAGGAATAAATCATTAATATTTAAGGTTAGTGCAATCAGCACAACAGCACAATAAGCCAGCAGGAGCTGTAAAGGTTAGAGTTACAATAAGGGAATGGCAGCTGGTAAATTATAGAGTAGCGGGCGGCAACACACGACGTAGTCGGGTGTTGTCGCCAGGGCTAGCTTAATAAAAAGAAAGTTGCAATGCGGGAATGAATGATACCGGGCGGCAACACACGACGTAGTCGGGTGTTGTCGCCAGGGCTAGCTTGAAAGATGGGTGCAATCGGAACGTGATCCTCCTTCTTCTATCTGTCTTTCTGCCGAGGTATCGCAGCTCCCGCTGACTTAACCCCTTTAATGCTATTTCCTATTTCCTATTTCCTATTCCGGTGAAGCCAAAGTATAAGGATAGAGATAGTCATAAGCCAACAAAACTGAACATTGATGGTTGAATACAAGTTAGGGGTAGGAATAAATCATTAATATTTAAGGTTAGTGCAATCATCACAACAACACAATAAGCCAGCAGGAGCTGTAAAGGTTAGAGTTACAATAAGGGAATGGCAGCTGGTAAATTATAGAGTAGCGGGCGGCAACACACGACGTAGTGTCGCCAGGGCTAGCTTAATAAAAAGAAGGTTGCAATGAGGGAATGAATGATACCGGGCGGCAACACACGACGTAGTCGGGTGTTGTCGCCAGGGCTAGCTTGAAAGATGGGTGCAATCTCGAACATGATCCTCCTTCTTCTATCTGTCTTTCTGCCGAGGTATCGCAGCTCCCGCTGACTTATATTTCACGAGGTATTTCACGCAAGTATTGGCAGTGCCCCTCTTATGCCCCCTTTTCTGTACCAGTACAGCTATTACCGGTACTGTACAGCTGGCCACTGGCAAAGACCAATTCAATTAATTCGATTGAATGATACTAGCTACTCTACTGTAGTAGTACAATATCATTGAATCGAATCGAATCGAATCATTCAAGAACTTCGAGCGGATACGGTCTCATACTACTTTGCTACTCTACGCTGGCTTCCGTAGATAATTTCCCTACTCTAAGGACAGCCAGCCGGAGGCTAGTGCCCTCAACTTGCATTTTTCTAAAAGCCAAGGAACCGAAGGGTTCTGGTTTGACCGCTACTGGTAGCCTTAACCTTGCAAGGGAAACAGCA